CACACACACACACACACATTCAGTAATTACTTTCTGCAAATTTCAATAAAATTCATTCAAAAACTCGAGGTACAGGGCCTAGCATGATGGTAGTGTCTGACCGCTGCACAAAGCCTTTTCTAGCACATCTCAAAAATTCTCAGTGGACTCTGTGGAGCCAATCCATGTGTGAAAATGAATCTCATGCTCCCTGAACCACTCTTTCACAATAAGAGCCCCATGAATCCTGGCAGTGTCATCTTGGAACATGGCCGTGCCATCAGGGAAGAAACAATCCATTGATGGAAGAACCTGGTCATTCAGTATATTCAGATCAGCTGAACTCATTCTTTGAGCACAAACTGTTGGTGAACCTGGACCTGACCACCTGCAGCAACCCCACATCATAACACTGCCCTCACAGGCACTAGGTATGATGGGTGCATCAGTTCACTTGCCTCTCTTCTTACCCTGATGCACGCTCTGGAACAGGGTAAACCTGGATTCACCAGACAACATGARCTTCTTCCATTGCTCCATGGTGCTGTCTTTACGCTCCCTGGCAAACTGAAGCCTTTTTTTCCCACTTTAGTCAATGATTTGAGCCTTCTTAAACAGACTGACAGCTTTTCCACGACCACAGGATGTGTCTTTCTACATGGTTGTTTAAGAAGTGAGAAGCAAATCATTGCATCAGTTGGGTTAAATAACTTGTTGCCAGCTGAAAATAATCACCCAGKAGTAATCATCCAATAGGAGGCTCGTACCTATTTGTTTAGTTAAATCCAGGTGGTGACTGTTTTTTGGCCAGGCAGTGTATTTTGGTAAGAGATAAGAGACTGACACACAGACTGTCTTCGTCTTTTGGCAGTCATAATTACTCAYTAGGACAATGGTTCACAAGGTTCATGGAGTGAATCATCTAACCCTGACCGGTACTACAGGACTATAAAAGCTTTGATAAAGTGTAAACTGATCCAGCTCTGTAAATCTAAAGCTTAAAGGGTGACAGCTGCAGAATGAAGGGCAGAGCTTTGCTGATGTACAAAAGACAGAACTTTGCAGATATTAAGTGTTTATGTCACGACAGAGAAACCTGGGAAATGTTAAAAGTTTCATGTAAACACGAGCGAGCTGAACATGTCGTTAAACTGCTACAAACTACTATCCACACACACACACACACACACACACACACACACACACACACACACACACACACACACACACGGTTCAGTTGTACTGAAAAGATTTCCAGCTGTAAAACAGGAGGAAAGTGTGGAAGCAAGAAGGATGGTCACAAAAACTTTAAAACGCTAAAAAAAAAAAGAAAAACAAAGAATGTAAAGTATGTCTGAAAGGCCAACGGTAAAGTAAAAAGCAAAGATACAAAGTGTGCACATCTATTATTTTAAGTCATAAAAGACAAAACAAAATATGCTTCTGTGCTCATAAGTCTAAAACTGTGACTCACATCCTGTAAGATTTATCTGCCAACTCAGGATAAAATGAGACAAAGAGCAAGCAGCAAGTCCAAAAACCAAATAAATAAATTTAAAAAAAAAAGAAAAAAAGAAGACTCACATCAATGCCTGGCTCTCCGGGCTCGCCATCATCACCTTTGGGTCCGGGGGTTCCTTTGCCTCCCTGAGGGTCAGACAGCACGATGACTCATTTCKCACCATGGCCACTTCAAACAAGCTCATTATCAGTGGTGTAAAATGATCAACAATAATAAAGCAGGGAGTTCCTTCTAATGTGAGGCTGTCTGCCGGACATCAGTTTTCAACTCCTAATAAAACACTTTTAACACCAGAAGGTGTTAAAATGTGTCTAATATAGAACAAAATAACTCAACAACCGAATAGAAACTTTAAAGAAAACCCACCGGCTCACCGGGGTCTCCACGGGGCCCAGGATAACCCTGAAAAAATGGAAACTCAGTGAGAAATGTTCAGGAAGTACATATTTACATATTTGTATCAGAAGATAAAARCAGCAGGAGCACAGACCTGGAAACCAGGGCATCCAGCTGTGCCATTCCCTTGGACACCATCTTCTCCCTGAAATAAAAAGCGGTCCTGATGTCAGGACTTCTGATGGACGCCACGCATCTGTCTTTGCTCCCCTCCARGTCTCCATCACTCACCCGTGGCCCCATTGAGCCTCTGTCTCCTGGAGCTCCTTTGATTCCCCTCGGTCCTTTGGGCCCCTGTGTGACAAAGAGAAGCGTGGAAACAAAATCGAACACATTCTAGCTGAAAATCAAAGAGCAAAAATTATGAACTGCAGACATTTAACCCCTGTAGCTTCAGATTTATTTATGTTTTACATTCTGGATGAAAAACATCCTTACCCCAGGTGAGATTAGGTTTAGAAAAACTGCTTTACAGCAAGATGTCAGCTAAAATCAATGTTATTAACACGGGAAAGCAGGGTGCCTGACATCGGTTTGTTTAACATAAAATGTTGATTTATTTTCCAGATCAGTCTTGTTCTGATGCAGCGACATCCAGGATGATTATGTTTACATGCATTTCCAAAACCTATTTATTAAATGTCCAGGCAACCGGACTGTGTAAAACATAATTTGAGAAGCTTTATGAGAATATCAATGTTTCAGCTGACTAATGACTGATATTGTGTCATCAATGACATGACAGAAACTGCTTTTTATAGTAGCAGATGTGACATTTTGCACCGTTGCTTTTATTGTGAAACTGCAACATTTTGCAATTGTCATTTTTTTTTATTCTTTTGGGGCCAGTTGTTCAAAAAATATAATCTGGATCAAATTGATCCTGATTTGGAAATCCCATTCCTTGTGTAGGGGTCACCTCAAGTGAGAAAACAAGAATTTCTGCCTCTAAAACAGGCCTCGGGCGAGCCTTCAAAAAACACAGAAATACTTGTTTTCTCGCTTGAGGTGACCCCTACATTTGRTGTCCAGAATCAAGGAGTTCATCTTACTTTTATGCCAGTTTTTCAAAGCAACAGTAGATCTGGATCACCCTGATGCAGATCCCCTGTTTTCAGGAGGACCAAATCCGGATTACCAGTGCTCTAAATGAGACGACATATCACACTGTGGGCTACCAGCTAAGTAAAAAACAACAAGTAGAAGAGCCAACAAGGGGTCACTTTAAGTGTTTATTATTTGGAGACAAAAACAACATAAACGTCCACTTCCTTTTATAATTTCTAACACCTCATCGGAGCCACAACAAATTAAAAATAAATATGCATTAACAAATACTTTGAAAATGTCCTAATTAAAAAAAGAAGGTAAATGTCCAACAGTCATAAAAAAAAGAATGTTTAGGGTTCTTGTTCATCTGAGGAGAGACCAGCATTTCCAAGCTAATGAGGGACTGACTGGACGTTAGTAAGAGATGCAGTTATTAAAAAGTATTTTTGACAGGTTCATCTCTGATGATTGTTTTTTTTTTATTAATATACAGTGATCAATTACAAAACAATGAATATATTATTTTGTTTGTTATTGAAATATGTTTATGGAATTACAGAATTCCATGGGAACAGGATCATTTTTATTTAACTTTAACTTTATATTGAAAGGCTTAATTGGTAGCCTATGTTCACTTCATATTGTTTATCTGTCACAGTTCAACAAGTCAAGTGCAGGATAAAGTATATATACACTAAATGATAGAAATTTATTATCTGGCCAGTTTTTACTACATTTTCTTCCTGAATTCAACCTTGTAATCCTACCCGCTGTTGGGATCAGGATAATCCTGTTTTACTGGATTAAACTGATCCAAATCCTGCTGAAAGGTTTTGAACACAAACTGAAGTTTTGATCCAGATTAAAACTAGTATTGGATTCCATGATCCAATCCGGTTTCAGAATCTTTCTTTCTCTTTTGAACAACCCATTTTCAAGATTCGATCCAATCCGATTACCAAAATCCAACCAGATTACCTTTGAACAACTGGTCCCTGAAGATTGTTCATCAAAAATACCAGCCACATAAAACAAAAAATTGTCTTTGCACAGAAAAGAGCCAGTTTCATCTGGGGCCAATTGTGAAGTTAAAGGAATAATTTAGATCTTTGTGTGGTTCTGTGAAAAAGTTACAAACAGTAAATAATAA